ATTTGGCAGTAGAGATAAGAATACCTATTTATTGGGGGAGGGGGGGGGCCCCCCCCGTTTAATATTAGGGGGTCAGGATTAGTTCTTTAACCTTCACCTGCATGCTTCTATCTCCTCTTGATCCTTTACAGACTGTAGGAAGGTGCTGTGCTGCTGCGGGACGATGGCAGCTGCGTCCTCCCTCATAGTTGGTAGTATCTCGATGTTGTGGACCTCAGAGTCTGGCCCCGAAACCCCACAATCCGAGAGCGAAGAGACCAACGGCTAATGCGGCTAATGCCCTAATCAGCTTGAACGAATGTTGGTGGTTTATTGTGTAGTATCGAGGATTTCGTCTTTAGAACGAGTTCAACCCGATCGGAGTCTTAAACACGCTGGTAAACGTGCGAGCAAGGCAGACAGGTCTCTCTTTCTGAAAACCTCAATTTCAGCGCCCCCTTCCCTGGTGAACTCTTCCATGCATTCTTTAAACTTGCTTGCCCAAATCCTCCTTGGTCCTTCCTGTGCCCCTTTCCCGCATGCTAATCCTAGGTCCGAGGTCCAAACTGTCGCTAGGCTCGTATTCCAGCCTCCCTTTTCAGGCAGGTCGCTGTGCCGTAATGTCTGCAAATGGATTGCAGCTCCATTGCGGAGCATTTCGGCAGCCCAAAGATCAGGACACTCTGCCTCGGTCTGAAGGAGAGTTTTTAACCCGTGCAGGTTTCAGCACTCGGGTAACGAACTGTGGCTTCTCGCAGCAAGGGGCGGTAAGAGCGGGAGGTTTTCGAATCCGGATGTCGTCGCCCCGTTACATGCAAGCCAACCCGAGGTACACGTCACCCTACTTCTAAGTACCCGTGTACCTTCAAGTAGGCCCTCAAGCCTCGAAACCCGAAAAGTTTCGAACAAATCTCTTAACTCGACAGCCGGGCAGACAAGGAGCATCCTCACGGCACGTACACTGACTGTGAAGGCCCCCAAACGCGCACAGATGCTTAAGCCAAACCTGCGCAGCCACGTAATGAGCACGTCATGACCACCTGATGGTAGGTCCTGGCAGGTCGTGCCACAAGCGGATGAAAGAATGGTAAGTTCACAAAACCTCAAGCTATGCAAAGACTGCCTTCCACACTGAAAAACTGAAAAACAACGTCAAGCCAGGAACCCAAAAACAAACCGGAGCAGCATCAAGACCGACAATGACATGTGCGAGTTCACGTGGCAAAAGCTCAGCCCCTGTATGGCTTCCCCTTTTGTTTTTGTCGCGAGTTCACATGGCAAAGGCCCCAGCCCTGTGTTGTGTCTGCATTTTCAAGGCTGAACGAGAGCGACCTTAGTCTTGATAGGAGAATGATACAAGTACTCGCTGCTAGCTACAGTTGTGAGGCCAGGAGCAGTCTCTACAAGACACAGCCCTGTGAGGTTGGCCCGCTGGCTTGTAATTTGACACCCAACCTTTTGAAAGAAGCTCGGAAATCCCTCCGCCAGGGCTTCTTGAGGGCTATGAATCGCATGGTGCCTTTGAACTTTGGAATGTCATCATTGCACGCAACTTGTGAGTCCCCAACTCCGTGTACACTTTCATGCTTGCTTCCGCGAGGTAGTATTTGATGGAGCCGTTGCAAACCTGCTGATGGCCAGCCCCTCCCGTTTGAGGCGCGACATACTGGTGCATTACCAAAACTGCTGCTGCCACAAGTCCATATTTTTACCATGAGCTGCAGTAGACGACCCATCCCTCACCACATGGACCACGCTTACTGCGGATCCTGAGTCGCTCGCATGAGTCCACATTGCCAGAAGTGCCCCTGGCAACTTGCTTTTTGCCTAGGGCCTAAGTTTTGGAAGCCCCTAATCCAGCACGCTAGCCTGCAAGGGACAAAGTGACAAGCAACAAGGCCTCCAAACGACGAGAGAGTGGTTCCATCAAATGCTCATCGAGCTCCCCGCAACCTGCGGCTAAAGGAGCTTCTGACAGAAAACTGACCCGGCCAGGAAATGCTGAGCTGCAGGCTGGGGGTCCACCTCTGGTGATGACAAGAGCTGCTTCTCAACCTGACCTTTTGCGCTGCTCTAGGACGCTGAGAGGAGCCATGACTCGAAACCCTCGGATCTCCTTGAGTTCCAGACTGTTTGTGGACGAAATCCGATTGATGGAGGTCTGCACCTCGAGTGCAATCTGAGAACTTGTCTCCGGCACACATCTCAGACTCCAAAGCCGAAGTTCCCTTTTTTATGTCAAGCATTGTCAGGCTTCCAGAGAACCTGCCCCTGCTCCTGCTCCCGCCTCTGCAGGGCGTAGCATGTGCCTTGCGACCATCGGCTGCAGCTGCTTGGCACGCTCCGTCCGGTCCCCCGCGTCCGGGCTCAGAACCGCCTCAAGGGCTCCGGTCACAAGAATCTTTCGGCTTCTCACATCAAGACCTAAAGTTAGAGGGCTTTGAGCCGTGGGGGTGCAAACCTCAGGTGTTCTGCAGATTCTCAAAAGCTTCATCTATTGAGGGTCTCCAGTCTGAACGTGCAACTCAAAGTTTGCACCAGGAGACATAGGAAAGCAGAGGCTTGCGTCAACGTTGATGATGCGTGAAGCCGTAGGTCTCAAATTCGAAGAACAGTCCAAATCCACTTAGTAGGAGCTAGACTGTCATGCAAGAAGACCTGCTCAAAGCTAACCTCAAGCTCAGGCCGCGGAGCCCCTGCATAGATGTAGTTGGAGCGGAACTGCGGGGTGACCTCACCATCCTGGCACATGCAGTCCTGTTCAACGCCGTGTGCCCGAGCGAAGGACTACCAGAGTCAAAGCCTGTAAGTGCGAGAGCACAATCTCTTCGATCGAGGGCAGCTAGTCGTCGGAGCCCACTGCAACTCAGATATTCGCTTCTCAAAACTTCAATGCTGAGCAAGCATTGTGTAGCTGCAGCAGTGGCTCCAACTGCAGTCTCCGGAAGAAGGGCGACTCTGCCTCCCGCCGCTGTCGAATAGCCTCGCTGTGACTTGCCGCAGCGTATCCTATGTCCGATCCAAGCGCTTGGCCACGGACCTTGTAGGTTCCCAGCTCCACCGGAAATGGCCATCGGTTTTCCAAGTTTTTCAGCCTCTCTGCAAAGCTCAACAAAGGCCTAGGGCCGAGCTAAGATGGCTGAGGCCATAGCAAGTAGAGCTGCACACGGTCGATCCTCTGGGAGCTTCTCCTCTTCAGCACCGGCTGTTAGGCCTTTCGGAACCTTGCGCATGGACAAAGTGGAAAGAGCCTTGAAGACCATCTCCTCTCGCATGCACACTTTTGATCGAAATGCACGGAGCTGCTTGATCTGCACAGCGTGTGCTGAACCGTGCTTTTGCTCTTCAGGGAGGGGCCATGAAATGGGGCCTGAGATCCCGGCTTCGTACTCTGCAGCCAGCATAGAAACCTCGGGCTTCGTGAGCATCCACTCCCGTGTGGTTTCCCTACAAGGGAGGAGTAAGCTGGCAGCTCAAAGGATGCCATTGGAACCGAAAGGCCGTAGGCCTGGCAAACCAAAACCTCTCTGCACCAGACCGAACGAGCTGAAGGTTTCCACGGCCGTTTCAAGCTTCGGAAGCACCTTTGACAGGTGACAGACAGGAACACTGACGTCTCTGCGGCTTAGAAGCCTCAAAGGCTCGTTTCGCTGCAACCATACACCGAGTGCGTAGGGCTCGCTTGGCAGCCTCGCGAACAGACTGCCAGGCTGCTCTCTCCGCCTCTGAAATTAAGCTTGCTTACTCGCATGCTCCCCACACACATTGGGATATTGAGACATTTCAGGTATTTCCATGGCGTCCGCAAATGGCTCCTCTTCTTCGCTCGTCTCCTGGCTCTCCTGGCAAAGCCAAATGTGCTCAGCGGGTGCCATGCGTCCATTGCATCACTGCAAGCACGTAGGGGTCAAGATGCGCCAGACAGCCTTCCAGCTTATCTTCCTGGGGCACTTGATAGACCTCAATAGGCGTCCAGCCCGCACAGAGTTGCACGCTGCGCGCGGCCGCTTGACTGCTCTCTTCCTCGGAGGCCTTGGCTCCGGGCCTGGCTCGGATCCAGGCCGTTCAACTTGTTGCTGTATTGCTCCGCAGCTCGCAAGCCTCGAATAGGAGGGGGTGGGCCAAAAACTGCTCTGGCCGGCATCCAGGGACCCGGCCCTGAGCCTTCGTTGGATCCGGCATCTGCGAACCATCCCATATCCTGTTTGCAGCGCAACCTGCGCACTGTTTAGCTGCGAGTGCAAAGGAAACTTCAGATGCTTGCTTACCACTCTAAGCGTCGGTCTGGTGCGTCTTCATCCAAGTTCTTGCCGGCACTTCACACCAACGTCGCCTGGCAAGTGGCGGCAGACATGAAGCAAACTTCAAACCGTGGTCGTGCAACAACCCACCGTCTGCCTCTGCCTCGACGGGGCAGGAGGAGGGGAGGCTTCCTGCGCATCTGGGTGTAACGATCTCCTCCAGGACTCAAGGAGACATGTCGACAGAAACCCAATCTGCCTACAAGTGAGCATGTCAATAGCCTGGGCACCACATCCACCCCACTGTGTCTTTCTCGAATTACTGACGCAGTCTCGACCCGATCTTCAAAGGAGTCTATCCAGGTTAATGTGTAGACAATCGCATCAGCAATTCCGATGCCGAGCAATGCAGGCAGACACCGTCTGCAACCCTTATCTTCAAGCTTGTCTGAAATCAACAACAGTTGGGTCTCTAGAAAGATTTTCGGCGCAGTCACATCGCCACCTTCACACCCGACCCGACCGACAGGACCCGACCGACACAACCGACCCGAAATGACCCTCCCGATCATCTAACCCGAGCAACCCAAGCAGCCAGACAACCCCACCAATTGGCGAACCGACCCAACCCACTGGACCAAAACATTCTGCCACGATGACACACCCTCGTGGCAGAACGCTGTCGGCACGGTCTTAGAGAGTTCTCTCCTCTCATCACGACGCGCCTTTGCCGAGGGTGACGGCTGCAGAGATCGTACAGAGCCACTCTGGGTGGTAGAACCGCTCGGGGCCTTTTTGCATTGGGTTCGCTTGAACCGTGAAATGCCCACCCGGCTTCGAACGGCCTCTGAGATGGAAGGACCCTGGAGCTGCAGTTGCCGGGCTTGGAGAAGAAGCTGGCGAAGCTGAAACACCCAGAGACTCCAATGTCCCTTAATTAGGGAATATACCTTAAATCTTATTAGAGTTCCTATTATAATTTAAGGTATATTCCTTAATTAAGGGATATTGGAGTCTGTGGGCACCTCAAGGAGGACCCGGACACCGGGTCACGAGTCGCAGCGCGCCAAAATCACCGCCAGATTGCAGGAGTATTCGGAAAGTTCGTCTGCTTCGGATGCGAGCCCTGTGCGCGAGGCCTCTCCCCATCTCTTGGATGGCATGGATTGCTTTTTGTAGAAATGGCTTTCTCTAGCAGATTTTCACTCTTCAGCTGATCTGCAGAGTTTGAGGAACAAATCTAAGTTTGAATGAATCAATGAAGTACGATTCTACAGAAGGGCGAAGTCCAAGACTTTGGTCTCGCAGGCGCCCAGACTTCCTGGCTCCCGGCATCACTCTAACTGTGGAAAAACTACGAATCAGAGACCGGTGGGTCCAATCAGAGACCGAAGATAGGAAGTCAGAGACCAGAGGGCGCGAATCAGAGACCACAAGAGCGGTTTCAGAGACCAGTCTCCGCAATCAGGCCGCATGGACTCAGAGACCGAGCAGGGTCGAATCAGAGACCCAAAGCGGGTTGAATCAGAGACCCGGTTCCTTGATTCGACCGTCACCCGGCTTCCCAACGTAAAGGAAGTACACGGTTGCTTGGGGATTCCAGACAGAAGCTAAAGCAGCAGGTCGAGGAGTGCCATGAGGCAAGAAGCACGCCTTCAATGATAAATCGGATTATACTACCGCTACTAGGGCGACGACGACGACTACGACAACGAAGATGACGATGGCGACTACTTTACAAAGTCCGGGGTGTGCTGGTGGGGATGTGACTGCGCCTCTAAGCGTTTTCCAGTACGTCCCAAGGCTGCGACCGGAAGGGCTGCGAGGCGACGCCTGCAGAGTCCAGGTGCAGCAGACTATTCTGGTGAACAGCCCTGCCCGGCAAAAAATATCCAACAAGCTATAAGCAGAATTCTTCGCCCCCTGCCTCCGCTGTGGGACCTGGGCCTGGACCACTTCAAGCGACAGGCAGACACATCTGAGATGCGCACTCCCCAAACTCCAGCTCTTGAGGCCGAGTCTGCAGCCCTCTGCTACATGTAGACCGGCACAGGAAGCAAATCTTGCGCACCATCAGGGCCTCGACTTTGGACGGGTCGGACTCGTGCCGGGTCGGCTACCTGGCCAGGGCCGAATGCTCTGACAGCATCCTCAGGTCGCCGGGGCCCTGCCGAGTCCTCGTCCTGCGAGTGAAAGATCCAAGAAGGAGCCACCTGCCAGCCGCAGGGTTGGCACGCTCGGACCAGGTGCTCGGGGGAGCTCGGCCTGCTTCAGTGAGAATAGGCAGCTCGGATCCTGGCACCGACTCTGTCACTGTTTGCCACGACGAGAATCTGTGCAAGACAGATGTAGGAGTCAAAACGAGCCGGGCAGTCCCTGTTCAGCGACACCTCGGCTTGCGTGAGGGGCATATGCACACTGCCAAGCCGCTCCTAGATGACGGCCTTGAGCAACGAGGGATGATTTCCTGGCCACGTCCAATGCTCCAAATGTTTGAACAAGCTGGGATAAACATTTCCAGCACCTGGTGTGGTGGAGCGTGTGCTGCTGGTCGAGCCGCTGCAAATGGAGGATGCACTCTTCAATGAGTAGCCCGTTCCCGCCGGCGTCAGCGTGCCCTTGCGAAAGTTGCAAAGAAAGCAAGCTTAAGCATGTGATGCAGAAAACTTGTGCTCTCGTCTGCGTTCACCACATGCCATTTATGCCATCCAGGACGTGTATGTGTTGCTACATCGACACGCAGCGTCGTCCAAACCTCTCCGAGGTTGTCCGTTTCTGTGCGCGGGGCCTCAGCACCGGTACACTGCATCTTCCGGGACTCCCTGAGCCTGATCCGTGAAAGCCTCTTCCGCCAGCAGCGCCACGGCCACGGCATCAAAGACACGCTGGCAGCTAGGGCGGTGACAGTCCACAACTAACCATGTATACAACTGGCAACCCTTTGTTGTCTCAAAGGAGACCATGTTACATTCCCATGTACTGCAATCTGCTTGATTCCATGACCTGTGTGAACTTTGAATCTGCTATGGTCCACACATGTCCACACCAGATAGGGGATGTATGTGATAAACTGAAGTACAATGCACCAACGCAAGCCGTGCAAGAACAAAGCCTAGTCAACAAATTCGTGGCATCTTGTAAAGCGGACAACATGTCGCTTGGACATGGGTGGGCAGCACGCATGATGTCAGGGACGAAAGGCTGGAGGACAACTGTATGAACGCTCCATCATGCTCCACCCAAGCTAGATCATTCCTTGAGCATCAGGCAACCCTTAGCCCTCCAACTGTTCCCGTCGCTGTATAGGTTTTGCCAGGCAGGTGAGGCAGAGTCTTCAGTTCCTGAATTGGCAATGGACTTCAAGGGACTCGCTCACGGATTCCTTCGGCCATCGTCTTCGTCTACCAGATCTGGCGCTGAGCAGCGCTAGAGGCGACAAGGCGAAGCATGACTTCCGGGAGCGTTTACGGGCCTTCTGGTGGCAGTACTGGGACTCGTCTCGCGTTGCTCATGGCGGCATTTTGTCAGGTGTTGATCGAGAGCGGTCCTTGCGTCCTCTACAAGCTCTTCGTCTTCGCAAAGGCACTTTCGGCTGGGACGGCACCGAAGCTGGAGCTCGCTATGCGCGATTTCTGGCGGATGCTCTTTGGTCGCGAAATCGCCGGAGACATGCGGGCAAAGTCGAGTCTGGCCTGTGCTGTCGATGTGGGGTTGAAGATGAGCGCACTGACCACTTCCTCTGGGGCTGTGTGGCGAACCGCGAGCTGCAGATCGTGCTTCGGAGAGAATGGGATGAGGCCGCTGGTCCCAACAGCTGGCCGTCTGCACGGCTTCCGGATGCTCTGCCGCGGTGTCTTCGGCAGTGTGGCGTGGTCCCGCAGGTGTCTGCACAGGAGGCTCCTTGGACCGATGGGCAACTAGCGGCTCTGCAGCGGTACTTCGTCGCTGTGCTGCGTGGTTGGGCGGCGGAGAGGGATCAGGATGCTGAGTGCATTCCGGTCCACTTTGCAGGCATCGTGGCGTGAGGAGTTCTTCTTCGTCCTGGTGGTCGGCGATCATGAGAGGGTGGCCCCCTCTTTCTTCTATCTTCCAACTGTTCCGGGATGTTCCGGGGCAATAGCGGGGTCGACCACAAAAGGATCAACAGCTGCTTGTAGTTTGCTGGGACTCAGAATTATTTGGTGAAGGATCTTGGTGCGGCTTCAATGGCATAGTTCCATGCACCTGTCTACACCATGGCAACAAGTCTGAATAGTGATCCTACCCGGCCAAGATTTTGCCATCGAACGGTTCGCAGCTGGGCATGAGCTTGTTGCAGAAGACACTAGCTCTGAAGGATGACGAGGAAATCCGCCAGAATTTGTCGGATGCCTTCAGGGGAAAAGCTTCCTCCACTCTGCAGAAGCGTGCACTTTCCTTGCAGGCCTACGCAGCAAAACATCTGGAGCTACATGAGGGCTCGCCGTGGAGGATCACCGAGGACCAACTGTACGTGACACTGTGCGCCTTTAGATCGGGTGGGGCGAAGCCTAGCACGGCTAATCACGTCCCTCAGGCCTTGCGGTTCTTTGATGGTGTTTGCAAGCTCCTTTATGCCAACCTAGATTCGGTCGTGTCGCTCGGCTTGGCGCAGGTGCGAGGTCTTGAGGAGCTCATGCTTGGCCAGTTGGCGGACTGGCTGAAAGCGAGAACAGGGCAAATCTTGTTTTGTGTGTGCATGCGTGTTGCCGGTGGTCTGATGGCCAGAGAGTCAAAAAGCTTGCAGATTTTAGGCGAAGGACCAGGGGCTATTTTGTTTGCACAAGCCCTCGGGTCCAAACCATCGTTGACTGCCGAGGCCCAAACACGTTTCCTTCCCTACACGGCCGTAGCGAAAGAGTCGGCAATGTTGATTGGGCCGGGGAGTGGCTAGCAGCTAGGAATCGTGAGCAAGTTGATTTCTCCACAGGTTGTGTGCCCACGTGGCTGGCGTGTCGGTCGTGCTGGGGGAGTGTTCCTGTGTCCACAGATGAGGCAGGAGACTTCTTGTTGGACTTGTTGGCCCGTGCAGGGGTCAGTCCTGCTGAGAGTGCATCAATCGGCACGGCGACACTCCTTACTTGGACCACCTGGCCTCCGATCGTGATCTTTAGCCCTAGGAGCATGGGCACTTGGGGCACCATCTCAAGAGGGGGCAAAGCACGTTGACCTACAGCCGGGAGCATTTTGTCACTCTGAGTGGCAAGGCTTTGGGGATGTATCGCACCATCAGGAATGGGAAATTCAATCCGCCGGATGAAAGTCCTTCGCAGCGAG